AAGGAATAAGTCAAGCCTGGAATGTAAAAGACTTATACTTGTAAAACCACAAAACACTAATGCAAGAAACCAAAAGAGATCAACATAAATAGAAAAACATACCGTGCTCATGGATAGGAAGACTTAACATTGTGAAAATGTCATTACTATTCTGTCAGGGACAACATAAAATGCAATTACTGGGAAGCTGAGGCTTTGTGACCTGGACAAAAATCCAAACCCAAGGCCCTCCTCGGTATTGCGAGCCATGAACCCTGAGGACCCAGGAAGTGACCTCCTGGGGTCCTGGGTCCTTTGGTGTTTGTGAACTCACTGGGTGGCTACCTCTGTACAAGTCCTAATATTGTTCATTCTAGGCTTCTAACTCCAGTAATTGTAGCTTCTGAGAAAATGGTTTTTATAATGCCTCTCTTAATGTCTCCACTGTGTTGGCAGTGTGTAGGGTCCTGGGAATGAATCTTTCTGAGGTACAAGCGATAGCCACCCGGGATGAGTGTCAGAACTGCTCCTTATTTGATTATTCAGTTATGTTTAATATTAACTTAGAACATGAGCTCTTGCTTATCCATGTACATTAATAAAACCGAATTTCCCCATAGAACCGAGGCAGTAAAAGTTCCTCAGAGGACGAACAAGGACAGGTTTACTGGGATTAAGCAGGGAGGTTCTGGAGAGGAACTGCCTGGGGTATTCACTTGAGGTGGAGTGGTAAATTCTGGGAATACTGGATTAAGGGACAATGGTGGCAGCCCTTTCAAACCACCTTTGGGTATAATCAGTTTGATCCAGATGCTCTTCTTCCCCCTGAGGATACAGTAAACATTGTAGCATTTGGATATGGAACACGGAACGAGGAAAAGGAAGGTGGAGGCGAAACCTCACCTTCATTAGAAAGGTTAAAACCAGTAAGGAAGAAAGGATTACTGACTTAACTTATCTTAAAGATGGTCTCTGTGAATCATTAAGCATTGTCTTATCTGAATAATCCCATTCTTCTTCTGTAAAGATCTCTTCCTTAAAAAAGTTAATAAAAGACTGGGGTAGAGATAGTTCTGTGTGCATTCTTGGCAGCAGGACTATCTGCCTGTCAGCTTGTATCCACTCTGGTCTCCGAGTGTTTCTTTCTCTCTCGCCCCTCCAGACATCCCACCTAGAGTTAGTTTTGAGTGCAATGTCTGCCACCGAACAGTCTGTCTGGCAGCTTGCATCAAACCTGTGTGTCTGTCTTCTTTGTCTGTTTTCTCTGTCTTCTTTGTGTCTGTTTTCTCTTTCTCTCTCTCTCTCTCTATCGTTGCCAGACACCCCACCTTCGTGTAATCACCCCCTTGTCGAGGCTGGACCCTGACACTATTCAACACGATCTATAAATAAAATGCAATCCAAATCCAAACCCCACCAACGTTCTTTAACAAAATGGAAAAATTAATCTCTAACTTTATATGCAAAGGAAGGCGGCCTCAAATAGCTTTGAACTTTCCAATCTAAGAACTTACAATGTAGCCACTGTAGTCAAAACAACCTAATACTGATACAATGGTAGACACATGGACCAGTAGAACAGAAATGAAAACCCAGAAGTAAATCCACTTAACTATGGACAGCTGATCTTCAACAAAGTAGAAGTTCATTCAATGGGAAAGAGATAGTCTCTTTATGAAATGGTGCTGGTAAAACTGGATATCCGTTTTCAGAAAAATGAAACAGGATCCATGCCTGCCATCATATATTTCAAAATAGATCAAAGACCTAAATGTTAAATCTAAAACTGTAAAGTTCCTGGAAAATAACATGGAAACAAAGCTAGGGGTCCTAATTTATGGCATAAATACACTATCAAACATAACTAAAAATGCACAAACAATGGGAGATAAACGAGATAGCATCGACCTTCTAAAAATTAAATACTTATACTTATCAAAAGACTTTACCAAAAGAGTGAAAAGAGAATTTGTAGACTGTGGAAATATTTTGGCAACAACTTATCTCTGATCTCTAAAATTTATAGAAAAACTTCAACAACTCAACAACAAAAAGACAGACAATCCAATAAAAAAATTTGTCCAAGGACATGAACAGACACTTAATCAAAGAATACATTCAGGCAGCTAACAAACACATGAAGAGATGCTTGTTGTTATTAGATATTATTGTTGTTAAGTGCCGTTGAATCAGTTCTGACTCACAGCTAGCCTGTATAGGGTTTCTGAAGAATAGTTGGTGAGTTTGAACCACCAAGCTTGTAGTTCAAACCGACCTTATGGTCCAGTGCTTACCCTACACCAAGATGCCATTAACCATTAGAGATGTGCAAATCAAAATTACAATGAGATACCCTCCAAAAAATGCCACTGATTAAAAAAAAACAAAAAACAAAACAGAAAATGACAAATGCTGGACAAGTTATAGGGAGACTGGAACTCTTGCACACTGATATTGGGATTGTAAACTGCCAAATCACTATATAAAACACCACAGTGCTTACTCAAAAGACTAGAAATAGAAATACTATACGATCCAGCAATCCCACTACTAAGTATATGTCATAGAGAAAGAAGAACAATAACATGAATAGACATATGCAAACTGTTCACTGAAACATTATTCACTATAGCAACGAGATGGAAACAACCTAATTGTCCATCAGTGGATGAATGGGTAAGCAAAACATGGTACATGCATACAATAGAATACTGTGCAATGATAAAGAGTAACAATAAGTGTGCAAAACATCTTATTACTTGGAAGAATTTAGAGGACATTATGTTGAGTGAACTCAATCAATCACAAAAGGACAAATATTACATGATACCACTCTTATAAAAGATCAACAGTAGGTTTACACACAGAAAGCATCTTTTTTTTTTTTAAGGATTTGGAGGGAGGGGAATGGAGACTTACTTAGAATCAAGGATGAAAAAACTTCTTCTCTCGTACTTTGGACATATTTTCAGGAGGGACCAATCCCTGGAGAAGGACATCATGCTTGGAAATGTAGAGGACTAACTTTTCCCAAAAGAGGAAGACCACCAACAAGATGGATTGACACAGTGGCATCAACAATGGCTCAAACGTTACCACAACTGTTTTTGTTCTGATGTGCATAGAGTTGCTATGAGTAGGAACCGACTCGATGGCACCTAACAACAACATAGATGTGTTAGTTCTAGTAAAGGGAAAGGCAATTCACAATATGAGGGAAGTCAGCATGATGTGATGAAAGTAAATGAAGACACTGAAAGGTACACAAGAGTAAAGGATGACTAACAATTCAAAATTCGTGAGTAGTTACATAGCTAGATAAATATGCTATATAGGTGTGATAAGGCATATGGGAATACATGCAAATGCATCTATAGATATAAGAAGCATAGTGGTTATGAGTCAAACTGCTAATCTCAGGGTCAGCAGTTTGAAACTAGCAGCTGTTCCTTAGGAGAAAGATGAAGCTTTCTGCTCCCATAAAGATTTACCTGAGGCTCTCATCTTCTGGCACTATATCTGACAATGTTCTGGTGATCTTCATCATGTTTGAATATTCAGTATTCTGCAGTGTCCCACTGCTAGTCATAAGGTTGTCAATGACTAAATATTCGGAAGTAGTCTGTCTGTCCTTCCTCCTGTCTTCATCTGGAAGCTCAGCCGAAACCTGTCCACTGGGAGTGACTCTGCTGGTGTTTAAAATAACTATGGCATAGCTTCCAGAATCAGAACACACAAGCCACCACAGTACGACAAACTGACAGACGAGTGGTGGACTATCACCCTAAGACAACTTTTTAACCTGGAACTAAAGCAACTTCTGGAGAATACCTTTCAGCCAAATAATAGATTGGCCTATAAAATAAAAACACCAGTGATGAATGTGCTTCTTAGAATGATCAACTACATAACACCAAAAGAGTAACATTTGCTCAAATGCAAAGATGAGAAGGCAAGGCAGGGCAGGAAAACTGGAAGGGTGGAACAGGGAAGGCAGGGTAGAAATGGGGGAAATGTTGCTGTGTTGTGGGCAATGTTATAGAACAATGTGTGTATAAATAATTAGACGGTAAACTAATTTTCTGTGTAAACTTTCACCAAAAATATAATAAAATGTTCAATAATAAAAAGAGTGTGCAGCCTGAATACTGTGCTCAAGTTCTTTTTAGATAAAAAATTATTTTCTCAGTGGGAAATGGTACCAATTTGATATAGAGTTACTTCCAATTGTTTCGCTTTGTTTTCCATTTTGGAGTTTTCTTATTATATTAATCTTACTTTGAAATATGTAAAACATAGTCCTAATAGGCCTAATGCTATTGTTGTTAAGTGTCTTCTAATGGGTTCTGACTCATAGAAATCCTGTATAGGGTTTCCAAGAAGTGGCTGGTGGGTTTGAACTGTTGATGTTACAGTTAGCCTTTCAGTAGTTATTCTACAGTACAACACAAGGACTCCAAAAGATTTATTGTTGTTTTGTGCTGTGGAGTCGGTTCCAACTCATAGCGACCCTGTACAGGGTTTCAGAGGCTGTAAATCTTTACGGGAGCAGAACGCCTCATCTTTCTCCCGCGGAACAGCTGGTAGTTTCAAACTGCTGACCTTGAGGTTCGCATCCCGATTCATAACCAATATGCTACCAGAGGTCCTTAAGGACCTATTAGAAATGAATAAACTGAGACTATAAAATACCAGTATGGATATAGAAAGTTGGGCAATACTTACAAAAACTACCCAAGTCAGTTTTCAAAGTAAATATAATCTTTTACCACTTATCTGTCAGTTTATTGTACTGTGGTTGTTTGCATGTTGCTGTGATTCTGGAAGTTATGCATGTGAAAGTTGGAAAATGAATAAGGAAAATTGTAGAAGAATTGGTTCATTTGAGTTGTAGTGTTGCAGGAGGATATTAAAAGTACCATATACTGCCAGAAGAAATACAGCCAGAATGCTCCTTAGAAGCCAGGATGGCCAGACTTCATCTCTCATACTTCGGACATATTATCAAGAGGGACCAGTCCCTGGAGAAGGACAACATGCTTGGTAAAGTGGAGGGTCAGCCAAAATAAGGAAGATCCCCAACAAGATGGGTTGGCACAGTGGCAGTAGCAATGGGCTCAAGCGTGAGGTTGGAACAGGACCAGGCAGTGTTTCTTTCTGCTGTGCATAAGGTTGCTATGGGTCAGTACCGACTCGGCAGGACCTAACAACAACAACAACAAAGCAAAAGGAAGATAGACAATTTAGCAATTTTAATGCCCAAATTGTTAAAATAATAAGTGAATGAAGGGACATACATGGTGCTGTGGGTTAATGCACCAGACTGCAAAGCCGTTTGAACTGCAAGGTCAGTGGTTCAAGCTCACCAGCTGCTCCTCAGAAATCCTATATAGGGTTGCCATGGGTCAGAATTGACTAGATGGCACTTCACAACAACAACAGAAACAAAATAATATAAACAAGTAGACATTAAAAAATTAGATATCTTCTAATAAAATCGACAAATTTCTTTGCATTAAAAAAAGAAAGAAAATGGTTTAAGGTCTTTTCAGTTGCCACCTCAGAGGAGACCTAGATTTTAAAAACTATTTCAGAGTTCTCTGTTGTGGTATGGCACTATAGAATATGCACTCGACCACAAGGTTGGTTTGAACCACAAGGTCGGTGGTTCAAACTCACCAGCCACTCCTTGGGAACCCTATACACGATTGCTATGAGTGGAACCATCTGGACATCACATAGCAACAAGTACAGCCTTTAAATAGAGAGATAAGGCAAGTGTGGCAAAGTGTTACCAGTTGAAGAATTGTCTGTTAACTGATGTTCATTTTTCTAGTCTTACAGCTTTTCTGTAAGTTTGAAATTTTTCAAAGCAAAATCTTGGGGGAAATAAACAAAAATGTTAGAATTGTGGTAGTGGTGGTGATGTGCCATTTTATTGTTTCTGACTCATCTCGACCCTGTATAAGGTTTCCGATTAAGTAAATTTTTACAGAAGTCCTGGTGTGGTGTGTAGGCTAAGCACTAGGCTGCTAACCGAAAGGTCAGCGGTTCAAATCCACCAGCTGCTCCTCGGAAGCCCTTTATAGGAATGCTGTGAGAACCGATTCACTAGCACTTAACAAGGACAAATCTTAACCAGAGCAGAAAGGTTCATCTTTCTCCCACAGGGCACCTGGTAGATTCCAACTGCTGACCTTGAAGTTGGCAGACCAATGCATAACCGCCAGGCTACCAGGGCTCCTTAAATGTTAGAATAAATCCTTTTAAATATCTATAGCCCAGTTGAGCTCATTTTCAATGTCTAATAAGCAAAAGTCCTCACCACTGGACCAATAAACAACATTCTTATCAACGGAGAAAAGATTGAAGTTGTCAAAGACTTCATTCTTCTTGGATCAACTATCAATACTCATGGAAGCAGCAGTCAAGAGATCAGACGACGTATTGCATTAGGCAAATTTGCTGCACAGGAACTTTTTTAAGTGCTGAAGAGCAAAGATGTCAGCTTGATGACTAAGGTGAGCCTGACCCAAGCCATGGTATTTTCAATAACCTCACATGTATGCAAAAGCTGGACAGTGAATAAAGAAGATCGTAGAAGAATTGATGCCTTTGAATTATGGTGTTGGAGGAGAATACTAAAAGTGCCATGGATTGCCAAAAGAACCAATAGATCTGTTTTGGAAGAAGTGCCGCCAGAGTGCTCCTTAGAGGCCAAGATGGCCAAACTTCATTTCTCATACTTTGGACATATTGTCAGGAGGGCACAGTCATTAGAGAAGGATGTCATGCTTGGTAAGATGGAGGTCAGAGAAAAAGAGGAAGACCCCCAACGAGATGGATTGGCCAGGTGGCAGCATCGATGGACTCAAGTGTGGCAACAGTAGTGAGGTTGGCCCAGGATCAGGTAGTGTTTGGTTCTGCTATGAATAAGGTCGCTATGAGTTGGTGCCGACTCGATGGCATCTAACAACAACAACAACAATAAGCAGCTTTCATATTTATTGTGTCTGTTTTCTTCCAGATGGATTTCTGGGGAATGAAAAAGTTGTACAAAATAATTTAATTGTTACAACCTAAAAAAAGAAAAGTGTGTTGTGTTTTGAGGTTATCATTTTCTTGACCATTCATAAACATGCTGGCATCTAGTTCATCTTTTGTTCACAGTCATAGCACATCTTTGGCACACAAGCCAACATGATGATGAAGAATGTGTATCTTGGCTATTCAGTGAATTGATGTTAGTTTTAGTTTAGAGTTTTGAATTTTTAGTCAAATTCTACAAAAATCTTAGTTGAGAGGGAAAATGCCAGTGCCAGGTAATGCCTTAAAAAATAAATCTGGGGACCACTTATGATATAGTATTGATTTGTTCCAAAAGTGCTAATATTCCTGGAAAAAAGCCATCAGTGATGGACAAAGTGACATGCAGTTTCCAAAGCATTTGAGTATTCTTTTTCAAAGAAAGCACACGAACGATCATTTGAGCTGTTGTTTCAGATAATAAAGTACAATCAGGTAATAAAGCATTTGAGCTGAAATATTCAAATGGATATACACAGCTAAATTAGTCGCAATTGTCCACCACAGAGCCACTTCACAATATCAGCTAGCATTGCTTCCTTAAAGTCAGGTCTGAGGTGTTTGCAAGTAGCTACAATCGACCAAGAAGTGTCAAACCAGCCTACCAATCCTAGTCAAACCCATATCTTGCTGCAGATTAGCATATCACATGATGCAAATGCTGCTTCCTAACATGCAATATGATACTGCTACTTCTGGTGTGGCGCTGTACGATAAGCACTGGACTGTGAACCACAAAGTCGGCAGTTCAAATTCACCAGTCGCTCCTGGTAAGCCCTGTATAGGATCGCTATGAGTCAGAACCAATTCCACAGTATTTAACAACAACTTTGCAAACTGGAAAAAAAAAAAAAAAAAAGTGCAAGGCCTGTTCTTCAACACCAATGAAATGGAATCATTAAGAGACATTGTGTTCTGTGTGACCCAACAATCGCAGCCTAAAACAGATTTAAAGTAAAGAAAAATGAGAACTAGGGTTTGGGAAATAAACTTGTCAAGAAAGGGGATCAAGGGTTTCTCAGAACTTGCACAGCACTGTAGCTGAAAAGTACCCCCCTCAAGAGGCCATTGCCATGGAAACCAGAGCACCTGGGGTTGGGAATTATGACCTCAGGTCAGACCAGTCTGTCCTCTATCCACCAGGCCCCGCCCAAGACATCAAGCTGTGGCTGCTAGCGGAAGTGGTGTCAGAACAAACCTGTCCTGGGAGTCATGAAATCTGCTGCCAAAAAGACGGAATGCCAGTTAGATCATACCTCGATCCAAGACATGTCTCGAATCACCAGCAACCTGTACATCAGCAACGGCTTGGCAGCTAACAACAAGATTATGTTATCCAACAAACATATCACCACAATCATCAACGCGTCAGTGGAGCTGGAGAATGTCTGCTACGAAAACATCCAATATGTGCGTGTTCCTGTAGCTGACACACCCAGCTCCAACCTCTTCGACTACTTTGATCCCATAGCCGACCACATCCACGACGTGACTACGAAACAAGGCTGCACACTGATACACTGCGTCGCCGGGGTGAGCCGCTCAGCCACTCTTTGCATTGCTTACCTCATGAAATACCACTCCATGTCACTACTGGATGCCCACATCTGGACCAAGTCTTGCCGACCCGTCATCCGGCCTAATAATGGCTTCTGGGAACAACTGATCCGCTATGAGTACAAGCTGTTTAGCAAGAACACGGTACACATGATCAGCTTATCAGTGGGCATGATTCCTGATGTCTACAATGAAAAGGCCCACTGATGTCAGTGTAAGCTATCCCGGACTGCAAGATCTACCAGTGCCCCAGTTCCAAGTCTGAACTTGTACGTTCTACTGTTGTCCAAAGAAACAGAAGTCATTTTAAGGGCAAGCGCAAGGGGTGAGGTTGTTGAAATTCATAAATAATCATTTAAAAAATAAAATGCATTCAGTGTAAGATGGTGAGAATATTTCTTACCCAGTGCGTGGAAGTTCATGGCTCCTAAAACGTGGCCAGGGAGGAGAGTGAGGATGGTGATGTCCAGCTCTGATGGAAATGCCAGCAGGCCCAATACATGTGGCGGTCCTGGAAACTTGCAGCCCTCTCCGAGACCCACTAATCTGAGTGAGTTCTCAGAATCCCACCTAGTTCTATGGATTCCAAATACAGAGCCTTAGGCATCATGGCACTTCTTGTGCTTCTGGTAGTGTTGTTGTTGTTAAGTACCGTGAAATCGGTGTGGATTCATAGTGACCCTGCACAGGGTTTACGGGAGCAGAATGTCTCATCTTTCTCCCGTGGAACTGCTGGTAGTTTCGAACTGCCGACCTTGAGGTTGTTGTTGCTATGTGCCATGGAGTTGGTTCTGACTCATAGCCACCCTGTACAGGATTTCCGAGACTGTAAATCTTTACGGGAGCAGAAAGCCTCCTCTTTCTCCCGCGGAACAGCTGGTAGTTTCAAACTGCTGACCTTGCGGTTCTCAGCCCATTTCGTAACCACTACACATAGAATCCTTCAATAATGTGACTCAAGGTTTGAATTTTTATTTCATCTCCCTAACTTAAGAAATGCTGAAAGTGTTCTTCCCCTTTGGTTTTCTAACTACAGGTCTTTGCACATTTCATTATAATATTTGACTTTGTCTTTTTGAATTACCCTTTGAAGTTTTCTATTCAGTTCTTTTACCTCCTCATTTCTTCCATTTTCTTGGGCATCTCTATGCTGGAAAGCAAGTTTCAAAGTCCTTCTGACATCCATTTTGGTCTGTTTTTTCTTTCTTGTCTTCTTATATGACGTTCTTGATGTCATTCCACAAGTATTCTGGTCTGCGGTCATTATATAATTATATTATATATTACTACTGGCAGTATATCTGGGTATGAAAATATGTTAATGGAACTGATTCAAATAATTGAGAAAAGTGATGTGAACTTCCCACAAAATGCAGGGTAGATAGATCCCTGCCCCTAAATCTGCTTCACCCACTGACAGAGTCAGTACTAACACAAGAAGGCTGAGCAAGGGGAAATTTCCCACTGAGTGCTCCCGCCAGAAGGCAGTATAGTGTGGTAGTTAGAAGAGAGAGGTCTGGAGTCAGACTTGTTATTGTTGTTGTTAAGTGACATTGAGTCGATTCCAACCCATAGCAACCCTGTATAGGGTTTCCAAGGAGCAGCTAGTAAGCTTGAACCACCGACCTTGCAGTTCAAATGACTTTGCAGTCTGACGCATTAGCCCACAGCTCCACACTTAAGTCCTGGTGTGGAGTCAGACTGCCTGAGTTTAAATCCTGCCTCTATCATGTACAAAGAATCCTGGAGTGGTGCTGTAAAATAAACATTGGACTACTCACCATAAAGTCAGTGGTTCAAACTCACCAGCTGTTCCTCAGAAATCCTCTACAGAGTTGCTATGAGTTGGAACCAACTCGGCAGCACTTAACAACAACAGCAATCTTGTACAAAGCATGACCTACTGCAAGCTTCTTAACCACTCTAAGCTTCAATTTGCCCATCTTAAAAATGGGAATTCTATTAAGACGTACCACATAGATTTGCTGTAAGATTAAACAGTATATTTGAATGCAAATTGCTTAAAACAGTGCTTGGCACCCTACACATGTTAGTTATTAATATTATTCTCAATATTGCTTGTGAACTTGTCACCATATAGACAAACCTTTAGCAATGAGGACTATCTCCCACTCTCTCTTGGTCATGAGAAAAGGCAAGAGGAGAGATCTAGGAAGCCTCAGGGAGATCCTGGTTGGTACATACAGTTAACACTCTCTGCTGCTTATTGAAAAGTTCAAGTCCATCTAGAGACTCATGGGAAGAAAGGCTCCTATGTAATTTCTATCTCTTGTTTGGTGTCTACCATGCTGGACTCAGAGCTCAGCACATGTATTTGTGTATGGGTTCTAGTAAAGCTCCCAATATGTGACCTTGTCTATTATCTGAGAAAACATTGAGCTGAGAAAGCCCAATTTTGATTCCAGGCAATTCAAGTATTTCTTCTTAGTACCCAGATTAATTTGAAAATCCTACAAAGCACAGTTTAACTCTGACACACATGGGTCACCCTGCGTCAGAATCAACTTCAGGGCAACTGGTAACTCGTAAGAAGCCCCAGAGAAAGTTGGTTACTTATACATGGGTCACCATGGACCGGAGCTGGGCAATAACAACACCGTCTCATTAAAAATGAAAATCTACCCTAAACAAATAATAAATAAGGGGGAAATGGAGGTAGACCGTGCAGACCCGGCCAGGAGTTCAAGGCCCTGTGGGCCCAAGCGTTGCAGACCGTCCAAACCATAGGCTCTGAGGATCAGACGTTAGCCACCTAGCAGACATAGCAAACTGTCCCTCATCTAATTATTCAGTATGCTTGTTAGTAATTGCATACATGAGCCTTGGATTTCCACAGATAAATGTAAAAACCTTCCCTAAAAGCCAAGACTGTAAATTCCAAAAAGGCAAAGTTCCCCCCACCCCCAAAAAAAGGAGAAAAGCCAAAGAGCATAGAGAGAAACACTGTTGACTGATGATGTATGGGGGGGATTGTAATCAATGTAATGAAACAAGTCATATGAATGGCTGAATGTGAAACTGATGATGTGCCCTGTAAACTTTCACTCAATCCACAATAAAAACCTTTAAAAAAAAAAAAAACCGAAAATCTAACCTTTGAGACCACAGGCTGGTCAACATGACATCCACAGTAATTTCAGCTGAATATTCATAATATAGAAAGTCCTGATTTAACCAATATATGAGAAAATATGTCCACATAAGTAATTTTTCTAGGTAATGGATCTTTACCCTTGTAAGTGTTAAGGCACACTTCCTTTAGATCCTTTTCTATGAAGTCTCTAAAATATGACAGAAACTATTTCTCCTGCCTTTATAAAAAGCATGTCCTGAACAAATGTAACCATTATTTATCCAATTTGATACCAACAATATTCTCCTGGGCCATTGATATCATTTTTAAGTTTTTGGTCTCTTGCTTTCAGATGTCATTTCCCACTGCTGTCACTGTGCCTATCTCTAGCTACTTGTCCCCTTGAACAGCATCTCCTCTTTGTTTATTTGCTATTTCTCATCTGTCCTGGATGGGGAAATGAAATGACCAAACATGTTATAATACAGTATAAGATAGCTACAAATTCAGAAGCTAGAATGTATTGCTCTGTAAAGAAATAGCTTCTGAGTGAAAGCTGGAGAACTTTGAGGAACTTTAAGAGTTCTTTAATGCTTATCTAGGTATTTCTAGGCACTTGTCAGTTTCTTGTCAGTATTCTGAATGGCTGAGTTACCTAAAGTATGATTTTATAATAACTGGGGTATTTCCTTCCTTTTTTTCCTATCATCTATTTACTAGATTACAATCGCTTCTTTTTATTGTTAAACATCCATTTGTTTGTGAGTCTTCCATCAAACCAAAAGCATTGACATCCCACTCCACCCCTACACACGACAACACACTTTAACTCAGCAAATGAATATGCAGAGGGAAAGTAAAACACTGCCCAAGCAGCTTCCTGCCACAGAAGGGGGAAATTAAAGATAATATATTTTATGTAGATAAGTCACTTTTAAAGGCTATGGTTTCAAAATTAACAGTGAGCAATGCTGGAAATTGATGAAAACATTTCCTTGTGGGGAAGAAAACTTGCAACAAAAACTGACATGGAATTGAGAAAAGACCTGAACTCAAATACACGTATCCTGCCACTATAGATCATAAAGATAGGGGGGGGGAAACCAGCCCACTTCTCTGCTGCAAACTGAGAGAAGATTGAAATGATCATGATCTACACCCCAGCAATGAAGACCTGCTCTGGACACTTAATCTCCAAATATAGAAAGTCTGACTCTGTTACACCAAGCTAAACAACAGTTAAATCATAGATTCAGAGGGAAAATGAAACAGTTGTGCAACAAAATTAAACAAGTATTCCAGATATTTTGACTGCATCATACATCACCCCAAAACAGTGTCTCAAAACATATATTTTGCTCAAAAAAAAAAAAAAAAATATAAAATATAACATTTGCCAACTCAACATTTTTCAGGTTCACACTGTAGGATAAGCACTGAACCAAAAGGTCAGTTTGAACTGTATGGTCAGCAGTTCAAATACACCAGTCGCTCCTCAGAAATCCTATACAGGGTGGCTATAAGTAAGAAATGACTTGACGGCACTAAACAGCAATAATTATATCAGTCATATTTTAATGCAAACAAATCTGTAATTTGGACAGAGATCGGCAGGAACGGCTCAACTCTGCACCATTCAGTGTCAGTTGACTTGAAGGATGGCTTCCACTTGGCATCAGAAAAGGCAACTAGAAGGTTGAGGTTCTTCACTTGGAGGTCTAGCAGTTAATGATGAAAAGATTCAAGCAGCTTAGGGTTGGAACAGCTGTAGTTCCTCAGGTATCTCTCTCTATCTCTGTGTGGTCTCTCTGTGTGACTTCTCTACCACTGCAGCCTCCAGGTAGTTGAACTTCTTACATGATGGCTCAGACATCCCATGGCAGGTGTCCCAAGAGAACAAGAGCCCGACAGAAGCCGTATTATTTTCTATGACCTAGCATGAGCAGTCACCCAATGTCACTTCCTCTGCATTCTATTGGTTAGAAGCAGTCACTAGAGGCTGGTCCATATTCATTGGCAGGACAATTAGACTCCACCTTGGTGGCTGGGATACAGAATGTGTGGGAACATTTTAAAACACCACAGTAGCTGTCTGCGGAGGAGTAGGAAACAT